ATATTAGGTATGAGAAAAAGTTCGTGGCGTTACATCTAACGGGAAAAACGCCACGAACTTTTTCCCACACTTAATATGTGTGTATATTAATAAATATTAATAATAAATATCAAATACCTGAGATAAATACTAATATACAAAATAAAATCTCGCTAATATATAATTCTTAAATTAATTATTTTTACAGATCGTCGACAAGCAGCACCGAGATTTGTCATCAAACCGCAAAGTGCGTTCGCCTATGAAGGACAGAGTGTGAAATTCACTTGTCGCGTGATTGCGATTGCGGCACCAACCTTATCTTGGTCACATAACAATCAAGAGTTACGGCAATCTGTTAAATTTATGAAGCGATATCATGGTGACGATTACACCTTTATTATCAACAGAGTTAAGTTGGAAGATAGAGGAGAATACATTATACGCGCGGAAAATCATTATGGTTACCGTGAAGAAGTCGTCTTCCTTAATGTACAACGTAAGATAATTCTATTATCAGAATTTTATATATATATATTTCATTTATTCCATTTCTTTCATTTATTCCATTTCTATATATTCCATTTCTTTCAGCACTGCCGAGAGAAATTCCGAAGTACAGGCCCGAGCTGCATCCTGTACGCAGACGAGAACCGCTTGGCTATAATGTGTGGTTGGAGACGATCGAGTCGGCGCCGAGCTTCACGTTCCTGTTGCGACCACGTGTCATACAGATCAGGCAGACTTGCAAACTGCTCTGCTGTCTGAGCGGCAATCCACCGCCCACCGTGAAATGGTACAAGGACAGAGAAGAATTGTCCAAGTACAATTACCCCATGAGCAACGCCGACGGCGTCGTCACAATGGAGATCGTTGACTGCAAGCCGGAGGACAGCGGCAAATATCGTTGTGTGGCAACTAACAAACATGGCAAAGACGAGACTAGTTGCGTAGTCATCGTAGAAGGTATGATATAAATAAACGATTAAGTATCAAATAAAAAAAAATAAAGAATGGAGGACTATTTCACGGAATTGAACAATAATATGAACCTAATATTATTGCCAATAATTTGAGATCGTTATTCTAAAAACTAAAAAATATGAACTATATCTTCAAATTTCTTAATAATCAATATACATTATTGTAATCAAATTTTTGTTTAACGATCTAAGAACAAAAACGATTTAATTTTGTAATTTATATAAAGTATTTATATAAAATATATTTTGAGTATTCAAATTAGATCTTGAATTATTCTTGAATTAAAGATTTATTTACATTTTCCGAAATAGTCGATTTATTTCATAAGGTCAATGATATTTTTTGTAAAATTTATATTAAATTTACTAATAAAATAGATCTCATTAATTGTTTCTTTGTAGGCACTGGAGAAACGGAGGAGCAAGTAAAATTAGTGCACGACCTCCTACATTCCGGAGGTAGAGTTGTTTTAGAATGTATCCTATTTGCCATCCTCTTCCTGTATTATTAAAAATAATATTTCATTAGATGATAGACATATATTTATACATTTATATGGTTATAACTATATAAATGTATAAATTTTTTCATTAATTATGCTTTTCACAAATAATTATTTTACAATCTTTTCATTTTATTTAGCTAGGTCTATTCCAAAGAATTAGAGTAGGTAAAGTTTCCTTTAAATTATTATATATTTATTTGTTTCATTTTTACATTCTATATACGCACTTCATGTTGAATTAACTTTCGTTTATTTTTTTAGCTTGTTTAGTTTCATTTATAGACTGCTTTTTGTAATGAAATCACGTAAATTTTATGTCAAAACATAAACATATATAATTATATTTGAATGTACGTCACTCGTTCATAATAAGTGATTATGTTCTAAGATCGAAAATTCATCGAGCAACCACTGAAACCAGCACCACCGCCGATCATAACAGTTCACAAGTATAGTTCCACAACCACTCAAAGCCAATCAAGCTCTTCGTACAATGGCAAACATAATTCCACAATCTCCTCATATAAGGTATCTCTTTAAAATAAGATTATGATTATATATAAAATATAATCGGTATAATAAGGAAACGTCTTTCTTTTAGGCGATGTAATACAAACAATATTAAGAATCTTTGTTTTAGACCACATATGTGAGAAATACAATCAACACTAGAAATTTAAAATGCCTATTACGGTCGAAGCTGGATCTTCATTGCTTTAAATAATTCAATCTTGAATTATTAATATACACTATATGTATGTACTTGCATATATACTATATTGTAATCTTTTCAATGAAGATCCAACTTCGATCGTAATAGGCATTTTAAATTTCTAGTATTGATTATATTTCTCACATATCTCTAAAATAAAGATTCTTAATGTTGTTTAAAATACTATTACTTATACATCTTTTTTGTATAATTGTAGGATAGCTCCAATGTCAAAATAAACGAATCATCTGATAAACGAAGCATAAAGAAATACGGCTCGAAACTTGACACTACTGGCAGTCCGTCTCGATCCAGAAGCACCACAAAAGAACTCATCTGTAAGAATATTGTTTTAATAGATCTGGAATAGCTATACTATTTAAAATTATATAAAATTATATTTATATAAAATTTATTTAATCTTAATGTATATGATTGAAGTACCCTCAGACGATTCGATGAGACAGCCGCAATTTACTCAAAAGTTAAAGAATCTCACGATCAACGATGGCGAACATCTGGAACTCACAGCTAAAGTCGATGGCGATCCGGAGCCGCAAATTACTTGGAGTAAAGACGGCAAGGTAAATATATAAGTTTGAAATCTATTTGTTATCATTAAAATTTAACATGTCTATCTAATCTTTTGAATTAAATTGATGTATAGAATTGTCATGTAATTTAATGAGTATATAAGAAAAAGATTGTGATAATTATTTTCAGAAAATGCATTAAAATTATGTGTGAAAGATATATTTCTATTAGCGATTATAATATGTGTGATAAAATTTTCTTATAGATGCTGAGTTCGTCAGAGATTGTCGATCTTAAATACAAGAATGGGGTGGCCACTCTCACGATCAACGAGGTATTCCCTGAAGACGAAGGCGAATACGCATGTCTTGCGACTAATAGCATCGGCAGCGACACGACATCCTGTAAACTGATTGTAAAACGTAAGAGTACCTGCATTATTATTAACAATGTCAACCGTTAATCTAAATAATTTAATTCACAAATATAGTTTTATTCAATCTGCTTATGTGGAGATTTAATTTTGTTGTTTGTTTTAATTTTTGCTATTTTTATAATCTTATTTATATTTTATTAGAAAATAATTATGAAAGACATATCGCTTAGTCCAACTTCTCTTTTTAGCTGTGGAGAATGCCGCCAGGAAGAAACAGAGTGACGATAAATCGCCGAAGATCGTCGATCACTTAACGAGCAAATATGTAAAAGATGGTGAGGCTGTGACACTTAGCTGCCGAATAATCGGCGCGAAGAAGTTTGATGTGGTGTGGCTGCATAATAATAAAGAGATCAAGCCTAGCAAGGACTTTCAATATACTAGCGAGGCTAATATCTACAAGCTAATCATCGCTGAGATATTCCCCGAGGACTCCGGTACTTACACGTGCGAAGCTTTCAATGACGCAGGAGAGAGCTACTCGTCGTGCACGTTAAGCGTACTCGGTAAGAAATTATTAATGATTATTAATCGTTTAATAAAAAAATCTGCATTCGATGAACTGCATTTTAATTTTTATCTACATTTTTCCAGCTTTAAACGAAGAGCCGAAAAGCCCAGCGTTCGCGACATTCCCACAATCTGCAACAGTGAGTGAAGGCGAGTCGGTTACTTTCACGTGCAAGACTGATACCGCGCCTTTGAAAGGTACTAAATTTTTATAATAGTATTATAATAGTATTATAATAGTATTATTTTAAGTAAATATGTAATAGAGTAAAAATTGTAATAGCAATTCAATAATTAAAGTAATTTTTTTATAATTTCCTTTTCTATTTTTTTATTCTCTGTTAAGCTAAATTGTTGCTAATAATGTCATGAATTTTTCAGTGACTTGGTTGAAAGATGGTAAGGCGATCCCCGAGACGAGCAGCAGATACCACTTCAGCTCGGACGGTAGCACGTCCTTCGAATTCGGCATTAAAACGTGCACGGCCAGCGATGTTGGTCAATATTTGGCGCGTGCGATCGGTCAGAAAGGCGAAACGAACTCTGCGTTTGCCCTTAACGTCGTCAATCCCGGCGAGCTGTGAAATCAAACTTGGTACCGGGTTATACGTCGATTATCAGCGCGGTCGACGACAGAATTAGAGCTTTGATATATTCTTCGTGGAGAATATATTTCTGAATTATTTCGTGAATATTGAAGAGTACAGCTATACCTTGATGAATCTATTCCAAATAAAAAGAGTGTATATCATCCGTGTTCGACTCGAGGGTACCGTAACGATGTCTGACCGATCGTTACTGTATCTTCCACACTCTGATCTTTTCGCTTTTGCTAAATTTAATCGGAACGCACGCGATACGATCGAAGCCGGAGCGGCTCGACCACAATAAACATTTTTAGAGTATGATGATGTCTTTATACAGAAAGGAAGAGAGAACTAGAAGACTAATATTAATCTCTCTCTGTTTCTTTCTCTTACGTTCTGTCTGTAAATTATTTTGAAACACTATATTTTTTTCTTCCTATATATTTGTTATGATGTCGTATTATCCACGAAAATTATTAGGAACAGCTCGTTGTCATGACGAGAATCCAAATTCACCGTCTTCGCACACAAACATTACGGATAGCACGCGCAACTTACTAAAATATTCGGCTTTGCTGTATTATACGACTCGGCACACACTCGAGTACACGCAGCTATTTAACAGGCACATCACGATAGCGTCCGAAGAAAGAGAAACGGAATATTATGTAGGATATCAATGCCGCGGACGCGACTTTCTCGGTGAGATTGCTAGCATCCTCAAACATCCGAATATACGTTTTTAATATCACCATCCAAGAATCTCACCAGGAAAATCCTTTGATGGCGTTAGAATGAGTACGCAAATATTTTTACGCAATAGTCGCGATGTGCCTACTTATTCCATGTTAATGGTACGCACCATCGTGTTTTGTTTGAAGACTGCTTCCGTCAGAAAATTTATGATAAAATGAAACAATTAAAAATGAGCTTGTTAATTATTACACCCTCCTATCCTAGATTATCAATATAATTTCTATTAATTTCTTTTTTATACTCGTTTTTGAATTTCTATTTATGTCAGATATATCGATAAAAAGAATATGCTTTATATTTATTTGAAAATAATGAGAAAAATAAGAAAATGAAAAGAATGTCCTAGGTTAATTAACCCATTTGAATTTCTCTGAAATCATGCAAGATATTAAAATCTTGTTTTTATGAGATTATATATTATATTATCAAAGGACATACTTTGAAAAGAATTTGACTTTGGATGAAAACGTCAAAGTGAGATAAAAGTCAAATTTATTTTCTTAAATGGAACTATGATTTTTTAAAAATATATCCATAGAATTTCAACATCTTACATGGTTTCGGCTACGTTGATTAAAATGAGATATCTGTATATATTCAACATATTTCAATATAAAAATCATATAATGGAATGTTAAATAATTCAGTGCTAAAGTCATTTGTCCATAGTAAAAGATTTCCAAGTTCGATTTCCAAAATTATCATCTTGCATATATAACATGAGAATTTTTTAATAGAAAAATATTACGTCTATTAAGCTGGACTCCTCATCATCGAAAATCAAGTTCGGAATAGATCTAAAATTTAGTGCTTTTTAGGTGCTAATTAGTACCCTATTCCAAATTTTAGTGTGTTAGCAGCAATAAAAAAAATGGGGGATCCAGCTTAATAACTCCCCATAAAAAAAAATATATATACAATGCACGTATACAAAAAATAATAAATAATATACAGGGATTTTAGTGCTCCAAAATAAGCCAAAAAAATTCAAATAGCGTTAATTCAAATATTACAACATGTAATAAACACTACATCGTCGTATAAGACACCTACATTTAGAGCTCGTAGCACACATATTTTTAAAAATATTCACATCTAAAATAATATAGATTTGACATATTCGAAAAATTCCAATTTGTTGCTAACCGTAAAAAAAATAAAATAAATATATAAATAAATATAATAAACTCATTCCGACTGATGACGCCGAGACTTAAATTCCATTAATTGCTCGTCAAAGACTTTGATGCTCGGTATTCTTGGTATTAAAACAATCTTTGAACATCATAGTATCAAAATATGCATTTCCGATTTTAGTGCTCACTTAAAGTTACTGAAAATAATTAATTCATCACAAAGGGCACACCGCGCTCTAAAATTCGTTACTCGATCGTCAAAGAATACGGTACTTGCATGATATTATAATATCAAAACAATCCTTAGACATCGTAGTATCAAAATATATACATTTCCGATTTTAATACTCACTTAAAATTGTAATTCGTTGTGTCGAGCACTATTACGGTGCATCCAAATTTATTCTTCCGACTATTTCAAGAAACTAGAGCAAAATGGAATCATTGAACATCTACAAAGTAATAACAATTCTATCTATAATTAAGATAATAATAAGCTTTTAAAGTGTGTTTGGCTTATGTTTTTGTTTTAAATATTCACAATTCTTTGACTGTTAAGAAACGCGATCGCGTTTTTCAAGACTTCTCATAAGTATGTAATAAATACTATGAGCGCGATAGTGTAGATAAAAATGTTAAAGAAATTTTTTTAAAGTAAGAAATTGGACGATAATTGCGTGTTACAAACACCTATTGACATACAATTAAGTCTAACAAGTTTTCGGTACATGGAAGTGTAAAAAACACTCTTAAAATTCAACGTACTGAAATAATTGTTTGATTTGTATGTCACTAATAATTTTAATTACTTGCTTATCGCACTTGTCTAATTTCGCTTTTATACTACATTTCTCTAACAATTTTATCAATGTAATTAAAAAATCTGATAATCAAAGAGTTCAATCAATCAATATTCATTTTAATTTCATCACTTTAATCTATATTAATGAAATTATCATATTTAAAATATGTGAAAGACAAAGAGATAATGTAATAGAGGGGAAAAGTAAGAATATATATGTTTTTATAAACATGCGTCCGATAAGTATGCATCCCGCGTGTAAAGCGCTCGCGTCTAACCGTGAGCGCCGCTTCTGCCCGTCTCCTCTATGCGGCCCATGATACGCTATTTCTTCTTGTAATTTGAAAACTAAACTTCAGACAAAATTTTCGCAAAAGAAAAATCGTCTTAAGATTAAGTCAGGAATGACACTTTAAGAACAAACATTTTTTTTTTAATCCTGTATAATCATATGATTCAGATAAAATCCATATACGTATAATTATATATGAGCGATTTTTTCTCGGATCGAAATTTCGCTGAGATCTGAGACAATTTTTGAAATAAATCCACCATATTGTATTCGCTATCTTGGAATTTGAAAATCGGGCCACGGATTTGTAATCAGCGGCTCCAAGAACCTTCAGAAATACATTTTCATAAGATTTGCATCGTTGTTGGATTTTAAATCCGCCATATTGGATTCGCCATCTTGAATTTCTGAATTTTGACCTCAGATTCATAATCAGCGATCTCAAAAACCTTTGAATGGAGACTTTAGCTTGGAAATTTCAAGAACTTTCGGAGATAATGAATTTTCTCCAGAAAAATTGTAATTTTTTAACGTTTGTTTATTTGTATAAACAAAATCACTCATGATTTCGAATTATTGCATATCGATTCTTATTCTTGAATGTATAATTGATACAAAAAAAAAGTTCGAAAATTGAGTGAAAGCTATCCCAGTTACTCAGAAAAGATAGCATTCCACGATGCCACTGTGCTGCAAAGGGTTAAACAAAAAACAAATATAAATATTGCAGTTGTAGAAAATATTTCCCTCGAAGCTAGGAAGAAGGTTCAAGTCTCTATCTCCCCGTTGGAAATGCATTCAATTTTTCTTCTCTCAGGGTCTTTCCTAATAACCCCTTTTTTCGCCCACTTTACAACAGATTTGAGCCTTTAGACTCTCTCTCCTATCAAGAATCAAGAAAATTCTTTTTCCCCTTCCTACATTTAAATTAATGTGGCCAAAAGCAGAATTTTCCCTTCCGCTAATAACAGAATATTCCGCTTTGGTGCCAGATCTCCACCGATCTCATGATCCCATGGCAAATCTCAAGCTAGCGCAAATATGTATTCACCCTTCACAACCTCATTCGCCCTCTCCACTCCTTCTCTCTTTCTTCTTCTTCTTCTCTATCTCCTTCTTCTTCACTCCCTTTCGGAAGAAAGCATCCAGCCGATAGGACTGCATCCCATGAAAAAACTCCTTCCGTCTAATGTGGAATGAATTGTCTAATATTGTCTTAACTTATACCCTCTCCCACATTACATTGTAATCCTTTTCCTTTTTCTCTCCCCTCACTTTCATCTATCTCCCTGTTACTAAACACTTTCGATGTTTTAGTTATTTTAAAAATAAAAATAAGAATATAAATAAGAAACATCAAATGCTTTCTATAATCTCATGCTTGCTTGCGAGGAAAAATCCCACAAATACAAAATATTTGGTCTGAATACGATATTATGTTTTCAAGAAAGGTAGAAGGATATTTCAGTGGATATTTCTGGAATCGCTTAGGACTACTGTTTACGATCTCTGTTTATGTAGGAGTAGAAATAAAAGTATATGTTCGCGTATTAAAGTGAGAGTTAGATTGATGTGTGAATCTCGTCCCTTCTCCTCTGATCATCCTACCTCCTATCGGCCCGAATGGCTTGGCGAGATAGCGAGCTCATCCCGCGCTGAATAAATGGCATGGATACATTCATGTTGGATGCAGCGATGGCTGTGTGTTCGTCTGATGAGTGGGAAGTTGACTGGAGGTCACGGTATCTGTTTCTTTGTATCTGTTCCGTCTTATGTGTCCTGAAGGTTCTCACTGGAGATTTCGATTACATATAGAAAGAGATTTCAGCTATACATATATATAATTATATATTTCCTTTTATAGTTAAAACATCCAAACATTCAAACGGAAAATCAAATATGTCCGATAATTCACAATATAGAACGTGTTAAAAAGTGTGCGCGAAAGAAATATTTCTAACTAAATTTTCTATGAAATAAGTTATTTACTATTAAATAATACAGAGATTACAAAACTTTCAATGGATTTATTTTCTATATTGTTTGCAAAATCATTATTGCGTCGATAATTCGCTGCAATTCGCCTTCATTATTGACTAATTTTTCCTCGTTATTCTTTTGAACATCAAGAGGCACCTTTACATTATAATCAGGTATTGCTAAATCCTGTTTCAATTTTTGTATAATTTCGATTAATTGGCTTTTTTTCTTTTGTAATTTTTCCAATTCTTTTTTTGAGTCAATCAAACCCTGTGAAATACACATTTATTATATTCATATAATAAATATACATTCATACGCAAAAAAACGACTCTTTTTACTTCAATGTTGAATAATTCGGTGAAAAAAAATCATACAGAGGTTTATAAAAAAGCAAATTAAATGTAAAGATTCATTCTTTCGAAAGCTGTAAACCCCATTTGTAATTTTTAATTAGCGTTGTGGAATTTCGTAAATTTTGTAAAAAGTTTTGAGAATTTGTGCATCTTCATTTATGTTCGTGTAACTTTATGAAATATTAGTAGTACCGTTTTTTGAAGTACCAGTTGAAAAATAGAGATTTCAAGCTTTAAAATGCTTTTTTAAAAATTTCGATACAATAATTTTTCACTGAGTTATTGCTATTTGAAAATATTAAAAATTTGTGAAAAAAATAGTGGCCAGGTTTTTTTGCGTGCGAGTGTAATATATGATTATATATAATAATAATAATTAAGGTATACAGGATGTAACTAAAATAAGATAACTAAAATAAGATAACTAAAATAAGATAACTAAAATAATAACTTCAGGGCTGCCCATACTTTGAGCTGTATCTCAGTAACAGTGAATTTGCAGATATATGTTCATATGAATTTTTTTTCATGTTTTGGTGTGAGAAGCCTGAAGTTCGTTACTTTATTTTAGTTACACTCTGTATATATGTATATTACGTGATGTG